CCGCCTGTAAGAATAACATTGGGGGGGGATTTAATATTTTTTTGGGGGGGGGGTTGTATTTGTAAAATTTAACTTTTCGTAATGGGCGCAATACCTAAAATCGTGCCAAATTTCAGATTTCCACCTAATCTATAAAACACTTTTCCAAATTATTCATTGGTTTCAAAACAAAGACTAGTAACTGTGAAAGATTTGAAGTGCATTGTCCCGATGAAAGACGGTGGTTCAAGAACTGTGAGGGTGGGGAGGTTATTATTTGTTGAGGGGGGGTACGTATAAAAATTCTAAATTCCTTTAATATAGGAGTTCCTTTAATATAGGAGTTTATTAAATAGGGGGACGTTTCTATACGATTGATATCCGCATACCAAATTCGACCGTAAGAATGGCATAGGGGGAATTCGATATTTCGGTCGGGGGGAGGGTGGGGGTTATCATTGTAAAATGTCACTTTTCGAAAAGGGCACAACACCTACAATATTGCAAAAAAAAACAGATCTCCAGCTAATCTAGAAGTGGGTAAACGTGATTTAGACCGATGAATCTGTGGTGGCTATTGTCACTTTTCAAAAAGGGCACAACACCTACAATATTGCAAAAAAAAAAAAAAAAAAAAAAAAAAAAAAAAAAAAAAAAAAAAAAAACAGATCTCCAGCTAATCTAGAAGTGGGTAAACGTGATTTAGATATCTATCCTATAGCCACCACAGATTCATCGGTCTAAATCACGTTTACCCACTTCTAGATTAGCTGGAGATCTGTTTTTTTTTTTGCAATATTGTAGGTGCTGTGCCCTTTTCGAAAAGTGAGATTTGGGGGATTTGGAGGGGGGGATTTTTCAAATGGTCCTTATTATATTCATACCTTGGTGTTAGCTCTAATACAGAAAACTTTGTATAGTTATAATAACCTTGTGCATATAGTGGTAAAGAATCTGTTATTACCTCGTAAAAGTGGTGAAACCTTTTAAATTTTGACATTAAACTTAAGTTTTGGGGGTCAAGGAGTAAAGTTACGAAAAAAAAAATGGATGAGTAAAACCGAAAGTAAACCAAGTAAAATACAAAGCATTAATAATATTTGCAAAAATTATTTCCTTATGTTGGGAAAAGTAGCGAAAAACATTAATAATTTGAAAAAAATTACCAATATTTGAAAGTAGGATGTTTTTTTAGGAGTGAAGGGGTGAAATTTTCAGAAAACACATAAAAGAGTATTGTAGAAAATTTAATTCCTGACCATGAAAATTCATTCAAATCTTTGCTAGCTCCTATTGCTTTTTAGTTATAGCCGTTAAAAAACGTGTTTTATCGTTTTTAGATGTCCGCGCCATTT